TAAGAAGAGTAGATTTCATACATTTGGTCCAATTGAGACAAAGCTGGAAATCATTACACGTGTCGGAAGGGTACATTTTAACATCAATCCCATATTTGGACTTAAGCCTTTTGGATCTCTCAGTTTGTTTAAAAATAGATCAGAATTAAATTCGTCCTCGACATTTATACATGGAAAAATGAATGTACACATGTCAATGGTAAGAAGAGTAGATTTCATACATTTGGTCCAATTGAGACAAAGCTGGAAATCATTACACGTGTCGGAAGGGTACATTTTAACATCAATCCCATATTTGGACTTAAGCCTTTTGGATCTCTCAGTTTGTTTAAAAATAGATCAGAATTAAATTAAATCCAGGTTGAACATAGTTGAGAATAAAACAAGGAAGCTATAAAAATATTGGAACCGAAGCAAAACACAAGTTTCCTGGGCTGGAATGCGGCTCAGGGCATGGCCCTGTGTTCAGCCCCTGGCGTACTGAAGCTGGAGAAGGACAGGATGTGACTAAAACCAGCTGGGACAGGGGGTGTGGCAAGATTCTGGGCTCAGCACAGCACAGTTCTCAGAGCCCGCATGTGGACTTCTCCTGAGGACTTGAGCAGGGTTTTTGATAGGGTGACCTGGACCTGACACCAGTGTGGGAAATTCGAAAGAGGACAGTCACTGTCAAGCACTTGCTGTGGTATCGTGTTTCTTCACGGTAGCCCACTCTATCCGTAGGGTGCATTTTTATTTTATTTTTTCCTCCTTTTACTTGGCCCAAACTCACTCTGCAGAGCCCCCTCCCCTTTTGTTACCCTTCTGATTTTTCCCCCGACCTTTAATAAATGTGAAACTTTGCCTCCATTTATGCTTGTTTTACATAATTCTTTAAGACGGAAAGAACCTAGACATCACCTCTAGAAAGAAACTCCAGCACCACAAAATCTGGTAACGGTACCAAAAAGTCCTAATCTTACTCAGAAGTAGGGAAGACTTTTGCAAGCATGATATAAAGAAAATTCAGAAAACTTTAAGGAAAAGGCTGTCATTGGTTTGCATAAAAATGTTTCACTTCTATAAGGAGAAGGCTATTCCATAAATACAATAAAACAAACAGAAAAATTTTAGAACATTGAATTAGGAAAAGTCCTAATTTCCCTTATATAGAGAGCTCGAGAAATAAAATAAAGCCAAATAACTTAGTAGAAAATTGTTAGAATATATGAAGGAGCATTCAGAGAAGATGAATTCAAAAATGACTGAAAAATACATTCAAAAGATGCTCAACCTCAAAAAGAAGGAAATACAAAAGAAAACCATGAAATACTTTTCTTACTTTATATTGGTGTAGGTTCAAGTTTTTATACCAGCATCAGGAAGACGGGAGAAGCAGACCCTTTGCTAAGCAATGCTGGTGGCAAAGAAAATTGTTATAATTTCCTTTTTGGTCCCGGGGATTGAACTTAGGTCCTTGCACTTGAGAAGTAGGCGGCAGAACCACTGAGCTAAATCCCCAGGCCAAATTGTTATAATTTCTTTGGAAGACAATCTGGGAATATTAAAAGTGTTCATGCTCTGTGACCAGCAATTCATCATAAATAATTCACCCAACAGAAATATTCTTTCAGATACACAAAAACTACAGGTGCACATCTAAGGGTTTTCACTATAGCAGTGTCTGTACTTGGGTCTCCAGTTTCACGGGGTCTGGTTTTTAAAAATTGTATTTTTGTTGTGCTGTTTTCTGATTAGAAGCACCCATGCACATTGCAAGATGTTCAAATAGCACATTTATGTTAAAGTAGAAAGAGAATTCCACCTCCCAAGATAATTACTACTAACATATTATTTCCAGATCATTTTTGTGCATAAACACATGTAATGATTTAAACTCTTGCTTTCCCAAACAGGAAATTTCCTAAACAAATAGATTCAGATAAGTATTTTGAGATGTATTTTTCCTCATTCACACTCTCCCAAATTTAGGAACTAAATATGTTGGAGAAAATTAATATCCTTCACTACTTAAATTCATTACCCAAACTGTAACTCTTGCTATATCAATTTGGAAATAAATATTTTGAATAGCCGGTAATTGCTGTACAAATATATTTTCTCTTATAAAAGTTTAATTGTAATGTATACTATTCAACAACTTGACTTTTTTTTTTGCTTATAGATATATTTTATTGCCTATTAGTTCATAATGATCTATTCTCACTTCTTTTTAATGGCCTCATAATATTTCACTGAACAAGTTGAGTATTCCTTATCCAGAGGTTTTTATTTTTGTTTAGATTTTGGAATCTATCTATCTACCTTGGGGTGAGACTCAAGGCTAAATGAGAACAGCTTATGCACATGACTGGAATATAATTTTAAACAATATTTTGAATGATGATGTGTATGAGCCAGGCGTGGTAGCACACACCTGTACCTGGTAGGCTGAGGCAGGAGGACTTCCGTGCATTTGAAGTCAGCCTGGACTACATTGTGAAACTCTGTGAAAAGAAAAAAAGATTTTATGAACAAAATAGTTTCACAGTATGGAATTTTTCATTTGTGGCATCGTGTCAGTGCTCAAAAAGTTTGGGATTTTAGGGCTGGGGATTTAGCTCAGTGGTTCCACCACCTGCTTTGCAAGTGCAGGGTCCTGAGTTTGATCCCTGGTACCAAAAGAAAAAAAAAAAGAATGAAAAAAGAAAAGAAAAGAAAAAAGTTTAGGATTTTAGAGCATTTCAGATTTAGAGTTTAAGATTAAGGATATTCACTATATCATAATCTTATTTAACTCATTTCTTATAAAGAATGTTCAGTGATAAATTAAGCATACATAATGACAGGGAAAGATGTCCGAATAATATTTTTAAGTTTAAAAGTTGGAAAGTCTGCCTACTATTTTTTAAAAAATGAAAAAAAGATAAGCTGGTTAATTTATAAACAGGAAGAAACTGATGGGACACATACCCAACTGAGTCGTTGACGAGTATCAGAGGTACCAATTGGGATGGGGAGGGAGACGATAGTCAGTTTTTTGCATATTATATTTTTCAGTAATTCAATACAAATTCAAATTTTTTCTAGAGAATAATATTTTAGAAGTAGAAAAATAAGTATAAAAGTATACAAAGGTATTGTCAAAGAACAGAATTTCAACCAATTGTGAGTGGCCTTTCTCAGTGTTCATGGACTGGACAGCATCACTCCTGGGAAACAGAAAGGCTGTGGGGGGCAGAAAGAGGCAGAAGGGGCAAAAACAAGATACAAACAATGGCTTGGTCATGTCAATGTTAGTTTTCTTGCAGGGCTAAATTAGCTAGGGCTTCTGTATTGTGCCGGCTCAGATCAACTGAGCCCTCCATTACTGGTTGCTGTAAATTTCCTAGTTATTGGAAAACTGGTCCATTTCTAAATTCATTTTGATTACTGTGGCACTCAGCACAAGTGACTGTTCTGGTTGTCTGCTTTGCTGGGGCCTTAGTGGAGGACCTTAGTCCAAAATAGTGGCCTCCCCTGAATTTTGACTGTATGTTCCTTTGTGTTCTTTGTAATATACTTTGAAATACAAGTCTGATGCCATAAATAAGAAATTCGTGGCCGGGCATGGTGGTGCACGCCTGTAATCTCAGCACTCAGGAAGCTGAGGCAGGAGGATAGCTGTGAGTTCGAGACCAGCCTGGGCTACATAGGGAGTTCCAGGTCAGTCTCAACTATGTAGTGAGACCCTGTCTCAAAAAACCAAAAAAAAAAGAAAAAAAAGAAAAGAAATTCGTCGCTGGGCATGGTGTCACACTCAGGTAATTCTAGATACTTGGTTGGATTGAATTCCTAGTACTGAGGCATAAAAAAGGAATGAAATAAATTATAGCAAATAATAAATTATAGCTTAAATAATAAATTATAGCTTAAAGAAATTATCGCAAATACAATTTGGATCTTCCCAAAATACAGTGTAATACCACACTTTAAAAAATAACCTATAGGCCCGGGATTTAGCTCAGTGGTTCTGGTGACTGTCTCGCAAGAGCAAGGACCTGAGATCGATCCCCGGTACCAAAAAAAATAAAAATAAAAAAAAAACTATAAAAACAATATGTTTTTATATATGCCGTGATGTTAATTATCTCTAGGAATACCTTAACTCTCTGAGTTACTTTTGTAACTAAAAAAAAAAAAAAAGTAAATTACTTTGCAATTGGGATAAAAGGTATTGATTGGTTGGTACTGAGAATAGAACTCAGGGCTGTCACTTGCCAGGCAGGCACTGTGCCACTGAGCTACATCCCCCACCCTGAACAGTATTGCTTAATGCAAGTTGAAATTAGGGTATCTCTCAGCTCTTGACAGGTAACTCACCTTGTTATATCAGGCAAATCTACTGTTTAATGTCTACCTATCAGACTTTATTACACATTTCCAGGAACCTATTACATATGATGTTAGGAGACTATTTAGATATCACTTTTCCCCCTAGATTAGTGCTGTGTAATAGAAATTCATTTCAAGCCACACATATAATTTAAAATATTCTAATAACGCATTAAAAAGGTAAAAGTAATGGGTGCAATTAATTTTCATAATATATTTTATTAACCCAATGCACTCAAAATATCACTTCAACATGCAATGGATATGAAAATTATTAATGAGGTGTTTCACATTCCAATTTCCATAGTAAGTCTTTAAAATTTAGTGTGTATTTTACACTTACAACATATTTCAATTGGATACTAAATTTTCAACAGTTAAAATGTTGCCCTGCCAAAATGATATTGTGATTAAGGGAGAGATATTTTACACTGCTTCAGTTTTTAAATTAAAATTAAAATTAATTAAGATCAAGTAAAAAACGTCCCCCGGTCAGCCCTGCCAGGTTTCTAGCAGCCGCCAACTCAGCACATTCTGCTGGACAGTGCGGGTGTAGACACCGCGCCAGGCAGACGCGGTCCGTTTTGCTCCTCTTCAGAGCGGGGCAGGTACTGCTGCACCCTGGGAATTCCGCAAGTGAGGGCTGCATGCAGGGGCCCCGGACTGGAGTCGTGGTGAACTGGACAGAGAAGAAAGTGAAAGATCTGCACCACACAGTGTTAGGTTGACCTCCTTTGCCTCTTGCCTGGGTAGCACGAATAGTTGTACTTGGAGGACTTTTGAGCTGGGTATTGAAAACAGCACATGATTTGTGCAGGGAATCTGCTATTCCCGACCGACTTCATATTAAGAAGAGTTTGCGTCGTGGATTTTTAGCCCTACGCAGAGTCAAAGGCTGCCTTTGAAGAAGACAGTGTCTATCTAGCGGCGGCAGAAGGGGGCAGCAGAGAGCTGCCGGGGTGCTAATCCTGGGAGAACCCCAAAGGAAGGTAGGTGGACAAAGAGCGTCAGGGTGAACCCCAATCCAGAACAGGGGGTCAAGAGGAAAGCGAGGCTACAAGCAAGGTGTCAAGAGAGGAGCCAAACCAGAGTAGGACCAAAGCAAGAAAGAAGGTGCTGGAAATCCGTGGTTTCCCATAGCACTTCGGTGGGAGACTCCGTTCCTCCTTCCCTCCATCTCTCCCTCCCTCGCTTTCTCCTCCCTGTCCTCTCTTCCCTCCTCATTTCTTTCCTTCTCTCCCCCTCCCTCCCTCCCTCCCTCTCTGTCTTTCTCCTCCTCTCTCCCCCCTGTCTTCTTCCCTCCCTGCTTCCTCTTCCTCCTCTCCTTCCTCCTCCTCCTCCTCTTGTTATATTTTGAGACAAGGTCTCACTGTGTAGTTCAGGCTGGACTTGAACTCAATATGTGGCCAGGCTGGCCTTGAACACACAGCGATCCTTCTACCCCAGCCTGTGGCGCGCTAGAATTACAGGCTTGTGCCACCATGGTTGGTTTTGTTCCCCCTCCCCTTTTTTAACTGAAATTATAAGCAAAATGAAGATACTTAAAATTATGATTAGCCACATAGAACTCTTCTCAAATTGTGTATAGCTGTATCACTAGCTTAACTTTTGGGAGTATTTCCTTCTGATATAATCATTTTGAATACATGCTTTGTTTTGTAAGCTATTTTTTAAAAACAACATTCTGTGAACATGTTTTAAAATTTATTAGTATTTTTATATACATTTTATTTTCTTTTTTGGTGCTGGAGATTGAACCCAGGGCCTCGGGCATGCTAAATATGCACTTTACCAGTGAGCTACATCCCCAGCCTTATACACATCATTTTCATTGGTCACCTCATCTTTGGTTGGTGTGGATTTGCTCTACTGGATGTACCTGCCAATTAGAAGATTTTTAGGGTTTTTCTAGTTTTTGTCATTTGGGGGCGGGGCATACCGGGGATTGAACTCAGGACCTTGTGCTTGTGAGACAGGTAGTGGCACCACTGAGCTAAATCCTCAGCCCTAATTTTCATCATTTAAAAAAATATAAATCTTTGCTAGGCATGGTGGCACATGCCTGCAATCCCAGCACTTGGGAGGCTGAGGCAGGAGGATCACTGTGAATTCGAGATCAGCCTGAGCTACATAGTGAGTTCCAGGTCAGTCTCGACTACATAGTGAGACCCTGTCCCAAAAAACAAAACAAAACAAAACAATTAAATAAAAGATAAATTTTTAAAAGTAAAGAAATCTTAGATAAATGTCTGTATCCACGATTTCCTTAGGATAAATTCCTAAATGTAGGATGGGAGGTACAGAAGTGTTTATCTGTAAGTTTTTTGAATTTGAATTTCTATATTAGTCAGCTTTCTTATTGCTAGGAGAAATACCCAACACTCACAATATAAAGGAGGAGGGATTTATTTGGCTCACAAATTTCAGTGATTTCAATCCATAGTCCACTGGCTCCAAGGAAGAAATGGCAGGGTGGAGGAACTGCCTAGCCCAGGGCAGCCAGGAAGCAGAGAGAACAAGGGGAGCCTGGGACAAGACTGCAGCCTTCCAGGTCAAGCCCTCCAGGCAAGCACTGGACCATTGTACCACTCACTGACTTATACCTTTACCTTGAAATCTTTTTTTTTTTTTTTTAATGTTTGTTGTTCTCCCCACCCCCATTTTTGGCATTGTCCATTTTCTACAAGATATTTTCTTAAAGAATTTGTAAGTCTCTATATATTGACCCTTTATCATACACACAGCAAATATTCCTCCTGTACATGTTTTGCTTTTTCATTGTTTTTTGCAGGTGGTTTCCCAGAAGATTTTATCCTTTTATTCTTTTGCTACTAGAGATTGCACCAAGGACCTTTGCGCTTAGCTACATCTCCAGTCCTTATTTTTTTGCTTTGAGACAGGGTCTTGCTGAGTTGCCCAGCTTTGGCTGTAACTTGTGCTTCTCCTGTTTCAGCCTTCCAGAGTGCTAAGATTATATGTGCTCTCACGACCAGCAAAGTATTACCTTTTAAAACACACTTTTTATTTTGGAATAAATTTAGGTTTACAGGAAAGTTGTCAAGATAGTAGGTAGAATCCCCATGCACCTTCAACCATTTTTTTCTTGCCATTAACAGTTGATATAACAACACCATGTTTGTCAAAATGAAGAACTACTATAAGCTTTTAAAGGTGTCTTGTTTAAAAGTGCAACAGAGAGTCAAACAACTCTGATGTTATCTTTATCTTTCTTTTTTTTTTTTACTTTTATCTTTCTCCAATGGAAAATTGGGTTTAGAGTTTGGTTAACTGAAATTTGGAGCACATTTTCGTCCTCTCAGAAACCATGACTTTGCATATTTCCTAGTCAAAGCCCTGAAGCCTATCCAATCCAAGATACTCTGAAACATATAACTAATGCTCTATCAATCGTGCTGTTGAGCTCATTGTGCCATAAATAACCATGTTTCCATAGGTAATGACGTCCAGAGGTTTGATCTTGCAGTGCTCTGGAGTCTGGAGACTGTCCCAAAGGATTTAGTTTGTGGCTGTGTTTCCTCCAGGGTAAACAGGAAAAAATGAGACATATGCCTAACATCATCCTCATGAGGAGTAACCTGCTATTAGGGCGCTTTCCTAAAGAGAGCTATCATCATCCTCTTTCTACATTACAGCTTCCCCAGGGCAGAATCGCTAAAGGAGTCCTTGATCTTTTCCTAGAGCCTTGGAGAATCACCTGGCTAATTGGGCAGTGGGGTCAGAGCTGGCAGCAGGGGCTATGGATGGGGCACCTCAGACCAGCTCTGGGTTCTGTAGAAGCCTTGTCTCTTAGGCCCTCACTTCCGCTTCCAAAAAGCAAGTGGCCTTCAATGATCTTTCCAGTTGGAGATTTTCTTAGTGATTGTCAAAAGCCGGTTTTATTGGGGATGGTGGTTATGTGATGTGATGTTTATTGTGTGATAGTTTCATCACAAGTGTATACTTACATCAAAACTCACCAAATTGAATGTTAAAATATAATGTAGTTTATTTATGTCATGCATACCTCAATACAACTGTTTTGTTTGTTGTTGTTGTTTTTGGTTTTCTGAGACAGGGTCTTGAGACTGACCTGGAACTCACTATGTAGCCCAGGCTGGTCTCAAACTCACATCAATACTCCTGCCTCAGCCTCCCAGGTAGGTCTCGAACTCACAGTGATCCTCCTGCCTCAGCCTCCCAGGTAGGTCTCGAACTCACAGTGATCCTCCTGCCTCAGCCTCCGGAGTGCTGGGATTACAGGCATGTGCCACCACGCCTGCCTGAAATCTGATTTTTAAGCAGCTGTATTGAGGCCGGCATTGGTGTGACATGCCTATAATCCCAGCACTCAGGAGGCTGAGGCAGGAGGATTGCTGCGAGTTCGAGTCCAGCTTGGGCTACATAGGGAGTCCAGGTCAGTCTCAACTAGATAGTGAGACTCTGTCTCAAAAAAAAAAAAAAAAAAAAAAAAAAAATCAGATTTCAGCCGTGCCTGGTTGTACAGGCACTTAATCCCAGCACTCCTAAAAGCTGAGGCAGGAGGAATCAAGTTTAAACCTAGCCCCTGGGCAATCTAACAAAATCCTGTTTTAAAATAGAAAATAAAAATGGGCTGGGGACATAGCTCAGTACAAAGGCCCTAGATTCAATCCCCAGTACCACAAAACAAAAACAAAAATTAAAAAACAGATTTAATAACCAAGTATGGTGGTGCACACCTGTTATCCTAGCACTTGGGAGGCTGAGGCAGGATCGTCATGAATTTGAGGTCAGTTTAGGCTACATAATGAGTTCAAGGCCAGCCTTAACTACATAAAAACACCCTGTCTCAAAAAACCAAAAGAAACAAACAAAAAATAAAACAAACAAACAAAAAATGAAAAGTTGAATGAGATATAGTCTAATTTTTGTTTAAGAAAAAAAAATTGAAAGCATCAAAAGAAAATTAAAATTCAAAAGAAAGGTAGGTGCCAAATGGTTTTCTTTGGGTGGAAGAATTATTGGTGATTAAATAAAAACACTTCCTTTTAATCCAAACTTTCTGTAGTGGGCAATGTCATTGTTATAATCAGAAAGACTTTGGTTCATTTTAGAAAAAAAGCACAGAAATAGGGGTATCAATTCGGTGCAAATGCAGATGGGTCACTTTAGAGGCAGCACAAAATTGAACATTAAGAGGCGTTCTGTTTTGTTTTAATATAGAGTAAGTAAGGACTGGCATGGGCTACATCTATAGGGTCTTTGAGCAGATGTGGACTGAGTGATTGCAGTGTTTCAGGGTAAACATCATAAAAATAAACAAATGAGCAAACTAATGGAATGTGATAGACAGGATGCCTGAGTAATTACTATAAATGCTCTGCCTTTTTTTTTTGGTCAGGGACCCAGAAAGGACTTTAACCTCTAGGACTATTAATCTGGCTTCTCTCACTGAGGAGAGTTAGTAGTGCTTTATGTTTGAAATCATAATTACACGATTTGCCCTTGGTGTGCTCTGGCAATATGTTTTCTTCCCATGGAAATTTGTTATCTCATCCTAGGAATGGAAAATGTACAGGTTGGCGATGTCACACCTGTGGGCATCTATAACCTTGAGATTTTCCTGTGAAGGTGCGAATTGTACCATGTGTGAATTCTCTTGAGTTCTCATAGGGCCAGTGTGAAAGGAAAGCTGTGCTCCCTATAAAAGTTCAGGAAGGGCTCTGAATTCTGGACTCTGGGAAAAGCCTTGACAATGAGGTTGATCCTGCTGTTTGGTGCCCTTTTGGGGCATATCTACTGTCGACAGACATTTGTGGGGTAAGTTATATTTCCTGGTGCTTGTTTGAATTCTACCTACCTGATTCATGGAGGCTCTCATGTGATGGTTAAGGAATAACGGGTGTGTGTACTCAGCGTTTTCAGGATTTAGCCTTTTGGGAGCAGAGCGGGAAAACTAGAGTGATCAAGGAAGAGATGAATGACGTGGAAAGGAAAAGTGTCAACTATCAAACAAAAAAATGCAGAGATGGATCTCCAATAAAGTAACTTTTAGTTGGGACTCAAAGATAGGATTGCACTAGGCGTGGTGGCGCATGCCTGTAATCCCTGTAATCCCAGCACTCAGAGTGAAGCAGGAGGATCGCAGCAAATTAGAAGCCAGTTTGGGCTACATACTGAGTCCAAGGCTAGCCTGAACTAAGCAAGACCCTGGTTCCCAAAAACATAGGATTGCAATCCCTGACACACGTGCACAGGACAGGAGAAAAAAGGAAAAGCCTCTTGTATGCTTTTATGCTTGGAGAACAAAGGAAGGGTTAGGGGTTTTATCAGGACTGAGAAATCTACTCAAGTAATTTTGAATGAAAGCTCAGTGGTGCTTGTGGGAGCTGGTGAGCTCTGATTGGTGAGTAGGGCAGTTACTAGATAAAGTTAGTTCTGAGAGCATATAGTTGGTAGTTCCTTCATCATCGCTGAGTAAAAGTAGGATTAGTTTTTTATTTTATTGGTTTTTTGAGACTAGGTCTTGCTCTATAGTCCAGGCTGACAGGCCTCAAACTCACTGGGATTACAGGTGTGTGACGCCACACCCAGTCTAAGTAGTTTTAACCATGAAAGAGGCTGTTTTGCTGTATTGTGATAGATTCACTGGTTCTGTGAGAGAGAGAGCCTGGCGCACGCATCCGCGGACCCTTCACTCCATTTCAGTGGCTTGCGACAGGCACGACTCCATTTTGTATAATGAATTTTCACAAAAGAGAACACACATAACCCAATTTCTCCACACCCTTACACGTTTTTTCCTCCGATGATTGGAACAAGGGGATGGTCGACATCAGGGAGGGTTGAGCCATTTGGCCATTTGTCGCCGTGTCAGGCTATTCTCTCACCTCCTTCTGGCCTGTGGGGGTTTTGTCCTGCATGTCGGGCCCTGTCCACTCCTATCTTCAGATTTAATATCTGGTTGGTGGAACATCAGGAAGTGGGAACCTATAACCCTAGGGCAATAGATTTCAGCCCAACTCCTCTCCTGCCTTTAGAATGCATCCTTCTCTGAAGGGCTTTGGTTTCAAATTCTGTGAAGAGCTTTGGGCAGCATTTTTGGAGAGTGTCCCAGGGTACTAATGAAGGAGTCAAATAAATTTGGTCCAAAAAAAGTAGATGGTCAAATTAATCTGGGAATCAGAGGGTTAAACAAACTATAGGATTTCTAGGAACTTTGACTAAATTATACTATAAATCTGTAAGAGGGGATCTAGATTGCAACATACATGTCAATTTTATAAAAATTTTCAACCCCCTCCTTTTCTTTTTTTTTTTTTTTGAGAGACAAGGTCTTGCTATATAGTTCAGTCTGGCCTTGAACTCACTAAGTAGCCCAGGCTGACCTTGAACTCACAGCAATCCTCTTACCTCAGCCTCCCAAGTGCTAGGAGTACAGGTGTGCACCACCACACCCCACTTCTCTTCTTTTGTTGGCTGAGCAACTCTAAGGATGACTGTTCCTTACAACTCACATCAAGAAACATTAGCCTAATGCATTACTTTATCATTTTAAGAGGACTCCTGGGTGTCTGTGCTTTAACCAAAAATAATGAGGCTCAAGCGAAGGAATTTTCAGACCATTCTGTCTACATGGATACCTGGAGGCAGAAGAACCTTGAAGAGTGAACATTCTGTCATTTGTGTATTCCACTAGATTTGACTAGAAAATGTGCATTGCTTGCTTTCCGTTCCTGGATTCCATTCCCTATCTATGGCTCCCTATACCTATTTTTTGTTTTGTTTTTTGGTGGCATCAGGAATCGAACTCAGGACCTTGTACTTGAAAGGCAGGCGTGGTGCCCCTGAGCTACATCCCTGGCCCCTCACTGTACCTATTTGTTCCCCTCTGTACAAAAGGACAGGACATTGGCTTTCTTGGAGAAAAGGGATAGAGCAGGAAAGATACTGTCCCCAAGGAAGAGGCTATAAAAATATAACTTTAAACATTGTTTTTACCCAAACTCTTTTCTAAGAATATATATTTGCTTGTTTTATGATTTTTCCTTTTCTGCTACTATGTCCCTGATAATGTTTATTTCCATTGTAAATGTGTGCATGTGTGTAAAAAGAGGCACACTATGATTTTTCAGGGTCCCAATTTTTCCTAGCTAGTTCCCAAGTTTGGGCCATACGAATAGGCTTTGTAGATGGAACTCTGATACATTTTAGTTGCAAAAACAAGAACAGCAACAACAACAACAACAAAATCAAACCCAGAAACACTCAGGTCTATCCAGATGTGAATTTGATTTCTCTTACAAACATTAAATTAATTATACCACCTTTAAAATACATTTTTCTCTCTGAAAACAACAAACAAGTTTTAAAAGCCACTGCTTTATGAGCAGCGGGTGTTATCTGACAAATACTCATTAGCCAAAGGAAAAGTAACTTTAATGGCAGCCTTCCTGCTAGGAGCAGGCACACCTCTTAATTAGTATTTAGATAACATTTCCTTGGAGGAAGTAAAACCATTCTTTCACCTCCTATTCTGGGGATGTGGGTCAGTATATGATTTATTAGTTTCTGCTCTGTCAAAGATATCATTGTTGCCCTCATTTCTTGTATACAGAGGCTGACTGCTACCTAAAGCAACAGGAAAGGGTGTCAGGTTTTGTTGTAAGGTCATGTCTCTGGTTAATATTGTTTAGAGACCAAGTTCTTGAGATCATCCCAAGGAATGAAGAACAAATTAAAACTCTGGTGCAACTTGAAGCCGAAGAACATGTTCAGGTATTTATCCTAGGGAGGGCTTTTGTTCCCCAGAGGGAATGCATACTCTGTTCAGACCCCATGACTAATGGCTATTTTGGATTGCATTAAAATTGTTTTATTAGTGCGTTTGCAGTACATAATGATGACGTTCCTTGTGGGGAGTTGGTACACGTACAGAACACATCCCCATTCCTTTTTCATCTCCTCTTCCACTCCTTTCTCCCTTCCTCCATCTCTTAGTCCCCCTTCCTTTGTGTGAAAGATCTATCTTGACTCCCCTGACATGTGGGATTCCAAAAGCCTGGACTCTGGCCTCAACTGCATAACCCTGGGGAAGTCACCTACCTTTCCTGTGACTCATTTTCTTGCTCAGCAAAATGGGGATGAATATATGATTCTATCTCACGGGTACATCATAAAAATGAAAAGAGGTTTTGAATGTGAAAATTACTTTGAAAAATTGTTGAATACCTTTAATGCATTAACTCTCTTCTAAAATAATTCATAATATTAATATCCTATTAGGAAATGGATTGGATCATTTGGATACCAGGTTGTTAAAAAAAAAAAAAAAACAAACTGCCACAGTTTTAAATAATCTTGTCCTTTGCCAGTTTTATTATCTGGCCGTGGGTGGGGGAACCAATATGACACATTGGCTGGTATTTGGGTATTTACACATTCTTGCTGCCATATCATAGTGATTCCATAATAATTCTAGTTTGGGGGCTCAAAATAAACAGGTAGTGAACTGATTTCTTAAAATTCGTCAATGCTGACCTATCCATTTTGCCAGAACAACCCACTCATAGTCTTGGTTTGTCCTTTTCAGCTTGATTTTTGGAAATCACCCACCACCCCCGGGGAGTCAGCTCATGTCCGAGTCCCCTCTGTCAAGGTCCAAGGAGTCAAAGTTTTCTTGGAGTCCCAGGGCATTGCTTATTCCGTCATGATTAAAGATGTTCAGGTAAATATGCCATTGACTAGCCTTCTAGAGACTTACTGGCCCAAGTGAACTGGAGGCCCACCCTCTTTCATCCTTGAGTACTCTTTGCAGGGAAAGTTTCTGTAGGTATAACTAGGGTCTTCCAGCAGAACAGGCTGCCCCTGGTGGGTAGGGTGGTGCCAACTTTCTCCTGTTTGCTTTAGGCACAAGTAGAATATAGTTACAAAGAACTGATGAGTTAGGGCAAAAAAAAAGAGACTATCGCATGAAGTATAGAGTGCAAATTGAAGGGTGTTAGCCAAAATAAGGAAAAGAAAGCTGCTACTCAATTAGTGTTTAGTGAGAGGTTAAATCAGAAGGGTGGGATGAGCCATAAGACTATGCCTGGAAGCCTTCCACATACTGTCATTTCTATACCTGCAGTGTCCAGCTGGCTGCTATCCTGTTAATGCACTATCTCCCTTTATAGCACTTGCTGCCAGAAAAAGGAGCCCAGAGTCCACAGGGTAGGGAAAGGAAAACGTGGTACTAGAGACTGAGTACCACCATTTCCTTACATTATAGATCGAAAGGCATTGCTCCCAACTAATCATGCATAGAGTTGGTTTGTTTTAGGTTCTGTTGGACCAAGAGAATGAAGAAATGCTATTTAATAGGAGAAGAGAAAGGAGTGGTAACTTCAATTTTGGAGCCTACCATACCTTGGAAGAGGTAGGTTTTTCAAAATGAACATCAAAACAATGGTCCTCCTCTCTCCTCAGAGGACAGTGCCACTACTTCCATGCAATTTAACGATCCAGATATCATTCTCTTATTATTTCTTAGCCTCTCCAAGTTTGTCTAGGATTTCACAGCCAACACCAGCATTACCTGTAGGACCTGAAGTCCTCCTGCCCATCCCAAGAGCCATACAGTTATTTTAGAAGTATACGGAATATCTTAAGGGAGCTCACAAATAGCTCTCTTGCTCTCTTCTCCATCCTCTTGCTGTTCCTAGAGTTTTGAAGTAAATGTCTCAGTTCCAGGGATTTTAGCAGGCCAGACTTGGCCTCCTGTCCCAAAATGTCAACCAAGTAGTGAAGGGTGGGAAAGGAGCTGTAATCAGCATGGGCATGCTGGGAAGCACAGTGGGTCAAGATGTCTTCAAGAGGCTAACAGACTCTGGGGTCCTATAGAAAAGGGGAGCAAAGGCAAGGGCTGGGGTTTGCATAGCTGGCAGTATAGGTAATCCTGGTCAAGTTGTGGTCTGGTTTAGTCAGTATCTCAGGGTTACTGGGAGGTTCTGGGAGAGCTGTCACTGCTTGAGGAAGCAACTGCTTCTTATCATGAGAAGCCAGCTCCTGCTTTGGGGTGGGTGATGTTTTCATTGCTATCACAGGTTTGTTCCCACTTGCACGTGTGTGTGTGTGTGTGTGTGTGTGTGTGACCTCATCACAGGGTGGTCTGCATGGCTCTGCTTTTTCTGGAAGCCCAGGTACTGTAGTTTTAGGATGATGACTTCTAGAAATCACTCCACAGGGTCTGGAACTGGATGTTGTGAAAGCTGGCGATTAGGTGTCCCAGCAGAACCTGAAAATTAGTTACTCCTATCTAGATAGCCTCAGTTTTGAAGGAGATAGCCTACATAAGTAAATTTAGGGCTTATACGCATTGTAATATTCCTCAAGTGATTAACATGCATACGTGCAGAGCTGAGCAGTGATCTGACCTAAAATACTAAGGTAGTGAGGAAGACATAAGATGACAAAAGATACCAAACTTTATCCTGCTTTTAGTTCCCCATAGGGCATCTATAGGCCTAGGCTCCAAGTCCCTATAACACTGCGGATTTCTGACCTGCACACCCCGATTTTGGAGAGCTGTGCTTCAGGGCTGCCATCTGTGGTGGAATCAGGGGATATATTGACATTTCTGACCTCCAAGCAAGGATGGGTTCTCTCAGCCTGCCCAGCACTGCAAGACTGACTGGTAGCAAAGTCTAAATAGTCTCTGCTGTTTATCCTGAGTTATGTCATGTGACCCACCTAGGTCACATGGTGCTAGCTAGGCACCCAGGTAGCCCTGCATTTACCTCTGTGATGCAGAGCAATTTTGGGGGCCCAAGGGTATTTAGCTACACTGATGTAGGAGTGAGGTAGTGGTTGTGTGTGTGTGTGTGTGTGTGTGTGTGTGTGTGTGTGTGATGTCAATTGTGGGGCTCTGGGGTGAGGTGGGAAGCAGAAAAGAGCCAGAGAGGATGCATCTGTTAAGCACCAAATCTCCTTATCAGCAACTTTAAAATGTAAAGAAAGCGCTCTCAAATGGTTTTCTCCTTAGTTTATGTGATGGTACAACATGCTCTGACTTAAACTTATTTAGGGGCAAAAGTCTGCCCCGAACTGACTTGATGATGTGTTTCACTGCTGGAAATACTAAAATGCTTGAATATGGCGCGACCTGGGATGTGTAATACGCAATATGTGCTTCCTGCTACTTTAAAATTCCCTCCTTCAAAAAAGTTGTGCCTGTGTACCCCTTGGCTCAAAAAAGAAAAGGCAGTGGAACAAAGATGTGCTCTCTTTTCTCCCCCGCTTGCCGGTCCCACAAACGAGTGCCGGCATCCTGTGATAGCACATGCTGCAAACAGCTGGAGAGGCCGTTTTGGTCCTGGGGACTCTCTAGACGCGCCTGCGCAGGCTCAGTGCCAGCACTGGCCACAGCCTGGCTGCCCGGAGAAGGCACAGAATTTCAATGAAGCTTGAAAAGAGGAGCCAGAGTAGTCGGTGGTTTGAGTACCTAAGCAGCAGGCGCCCCATTGTCCCCGGCCTCCTCCAGCCCTGCCGCTTTTATAGCACTGGGCTCCGGAGCCATCTTTCCCGGTGCCACCTCCGTCTGTGTCCTCCGCTCGTGAAGGCGAGAAGCAGCCCCGGCTGGAGAAGCTCCATCTCAGAGCTGGGGTCGTGGAAAAGCCACTGGAAAACCAGACAAGTGCCATTTTGTTTTGCACAAAGCTGGAAAGAGCCGGGTGTGAAGTAGCAAAATGGCTTCTCCTTTCCAGAATGACTCATTGTCCTAGAGCTGGGACTCAGAGAGCCCCCAAGCCTCCAGCCCGGGCCACTCCTGGTCCCACCTTGTCCCGAGGGAGTGGGGATGAAGGGGAGAGAGGTCATCAATAGAGGAGTGCGCTCATTCATTTGCAAATGTCTATTCATCTGAAACATTTCAGATTTCCAAACAAATGGATAACCTCGTGGCTGAGCACCCTGGTCTAGTGAGCAAAGTGAATATTGGCTCTTCTTTTGAAAAGCGGCCCATGAACGTACTCAAGGTACCCGGGGACCGCGGCCGGTTCTCCTCTCGATGCTTCTAGAATCCAGTCCCTCCCGGCTCTGCCCGCAGAGATCCCCCAGCCCCCCGCCGGTCCTTGATGGTTTTGAGCATCCTCACCACTCCCCGCCCCCCTTCTGCGGCTTCTTTTTTCTCTCCTCCTGCGCGAGCTGACGCAGGTCTGCAGGAGAGAATTAATGCGCGTGTCCTGATGGATGCACTCTCCGGGCCCGAGCGAGCGCCAGTGGGAACCGAGGCGGGGGCGGAGGGCTGGGGAGCGTTCTGTAATTAACCAAGGCGGGAGTTCTTAGCTTTTGTTTTTTCAAGCCAGTTTTTTAAAAAAGAAAAAGACCGAGTAATTGTCCGAACTGCATTAAAAAACAAAAAGCCAAAAAGCAAAACTCAGGAGCCCCGCAGTATGCAGGATGACAGACAACTAGACCGCAAAGGGAAATGTCTTCCCTGAAAGAAGACTTTTTTTTTTTTTTTTAGATGGTAGCTGATAAAAAGGTCAAGGTTTAAGACCAACTTGTTATCCTGACGGACTTGGTAGTGGTAATTTCAAGCTTTGCATTGTGCCCTGAAAAAAAGAGTTAAAAATCATTTCCCCAGACTTCCTAGAAAGAGTTTGTTCAGGAGAGAGGGGAGGCAATATCACAATTCCCGGCTAAATTTGGAAAAGTCACGGCAGGGAACCAACTGAGTAATTGGGACGGATTTCTCCAGAGTGGTTTGCCCAAAACAGTTCTGGGAGGGGTATTTTCCCTACTTTAGGACTCGGTGGGTTGCTAAGGCTTGCTGCCACACTTCCTTTTAGTTCCTCTTTTTTTCTCCTACAACTGGGTCCCAAAGACCCCAGATTCTCCGATTCTCCTCCACTTTGGGTTTTTCTGGCCTTCCCTCTTCCAGGGGCTCCAGTGGATGAGGCTGTTCTATGTTTTCTACTTTTTACATTTGATGTCTTTGAAGGAAAAAAGCACCAAACACTTTCAGCTAAACTCTTGAAACCTGTGAAATGTAATTTTTAAGTAAGGATTTGCATTTCCCATTTACCTTATCTGCTGTGTTTAGGATGCTGCACAGAGATAGAAGTTGATCATGCAAAAATAATCTTTTCCTCTCCATTTACTGATCCAATCGGCAAAGCCACTGTTCCAAACAAAACTAAGTCACTTCGATCATCAAATTTAAACTCCAGAAAGCATCTCCCAGGGCCTGTCATCCTGTTTTTATGAAGGACTCAAAAGGTTATCATGAGCATTTTTATAGCTAAAATAATACAATGCTTGCATAAATTTGGAAAACAGGTAAACAAACAAGAAAAGGAAAAGGGAACACACACAAAAAAATCTGTGATTCTGTTTTCACAATTGTGGGACAATAGCTATAAACATTTTTACTACTTCCTTTTGCTCGTTTTTCTCTTCCTCCCCCCTCCCTCCCTTTGTGTCAGATGTATGTATATACCGATACACCCCTGCCGTAAACTAGTCTTTTAAAAAATAAAAGTGACACACTATTTTGTAACCTGTTTTTTCCCCAATTTACAACATATGAATATATTTTCACGTCGTTATCTGTGACATTTTACAAACATCAAAGGAGGGGGGAAAAATCTATGTATGCCTTTTTTGTTAGCCGGCATTTAAGTTTATATTAAAAGAAGGTGTGGGGAGGGGTGCGAAGAGAACCAAAACTGAAAAATCTTAAATAAGAATTAATCCAGGGTCACCGTCTGTATCTCCTCCTCTCTCCAGCACCAGCACCGCAAGAACAGAAAGGGAACAGAATAGGACCCCTGGGGAGAGGTGGGGACAAGATGCAGAAAGAGGATAGAGAAAGACCCCCCCCCAGGAGAAGCGGGGACAAGAGGTAGAAAGGGGACTGAGGAGGACTCCCGGGGAGAGGAGGGGGTGAGACGCCCGCAGCGGTGGAGCTGCTCACATCTCCACGCTTGATTTGCAGTTCAGCACCGGAGGAGACAAGCCGGCCATCTGGCTGGATGCCGGGATCCACGCTCGAGAGTGGGTTACTCAAGCCACTGCACTGTGGATAGCAAATAAGGTGAATTTGCCTAAAAGTCCTCCCTTATTTTGTCTTTCTGGGTTCAGGTCCGCAAGCAAGGACGCAACAGTCCCTGGGGTCCTGACGGCTGACGCTCTCCGCCAAGCCCTCTTGCCTTGCCGCACGGGTGGGAAACAGACCCATCCGACCTTTTTTTGGTGTTGCCCCATCAGGCGCCATGGCACTAAGCCCCTGGGCCAGCCGCTGTGCACTCTGTTAAATGACACAGTGAGGCAGAGGAGTTGGAAAAGGTGGTGAGCAAGGAAGCTGGGAGTCTGATTTCAGCATAAGCGCAAATGAGAAGAGTCTGCTACCTGGAACTCTGAGGGCTGAGGCACAGTGTGCAGATAATCTCTGAAATCGTGAAAGCTGCTCAAACAGAAAATAGAAACAGGTGCAAGAAGGGTTTACTTTGACCTACAGATCCAAATTGGAATTAGTTAAGGGTGTTTGGATTGTTCTGAAATTTTCCCAAATCTGATTTTGAAGCCAGGTTGTAGCAATATCTCTCCTCCACATGTTTGTTGGCATGAGAGTCAGGACATGGGGCTGGGTGTGACCTAGTCTGGTATTTCTTAAGTAATTCAAAAATGACATATTATAAATTAGAATGTTAATTCGTGAGCAAAGGAAGTCAATCCACATCAGACCATTCAAGTATGTGCAACCACGTGCATACTGACTGATACATTTTTCCCTTCAATTAAAATGTGGTTACCTTTAGGGTATTATGAAATGGATATTTAACAGTTGAATAATAATGCTTTAGGATGGCTGAGCACAGGAAATGAATAAATTTTAATCCAGCAGAAACTTCAGCTCTACTGCAATTGATTGGAAGTAAAAATGTAATTCCCCAAATGGAGTTTAACAGGTTCTTTGTAACCTCAGCAAAGTCCTGCATATTTAAGATATCTGATGTTGGTGAGTTCTTTGGGAAAGCTACTGTGTGTGAGCATGAAGGAATATTAACAAAAATTTCTTTGGTTCATTCATGGACCTATGTAAGTCACACACACCATTGCCCACCATCGCAACGTGACTCACCAGAATTAGGAAGAGGGAGAGGATGGATAAGTGATAACTGATTTTTACTTAACAGAAGTAATTTGTTCTGACCAAAAATGAAAGCACAGGCATCGGCATGTTAAACATATTAATACCACATGAGGATGGACAGCAGTGGGCTTGGAAGATTTTCATTGATCAACAGTGATCCTTGTTTTACATTTGGAAAAAAACACTTTGCCTTAATATTCCGTCCTGTGTTTCCTACCCAAAGGGGAATGTGACTTGCCATGTATGTTGTCTCTGCTCAGATTGCCTCTGATTATGGAAATGATCCATCTACCACTTCCATTCTGGACACCATGGATATCTTCCTGCTGCCCGTCACAAATCCTGACGGATACGTGTTCTCTCACACCCAAGTAAGCCTGGACCTTTTTTCTTCTTTTATAAGGACTTAAAGGGCTGTGTAGGAACTTTGAAAACCAAATACAAGTAATCTTCCTGTTCTTGATTTACTCTAAACAGATTGCCTAATCTCTCAGTAGTGGCTCTGAAATGAGGCACAGGAAAGTGTCTATAATCACTTCTTATTCCAACACATGATGTCTTTACATGTCGCCTCAGCCAGAGCCCATTTCAGCTGTTAGTCTGGGCTATTAGAGCTCGGTGTTCACCGTGAGTCACCTAGGAGATTTGTTCCAATTATCTCTGCGTTTTTTTGTGGGGGGATTGATAGAAAAGAGGAGGCGGATGTTACCTGCTGACAATTAGATTGCAGCAGGATTTAGGTAGGCAGCACAATGTGTCCTAGCCTTTTACTTACAATCTGTCGCAGAAATTCTCTGTAATATCACTCAAAGGAGTTGTGTAGGTTTTTTTCTCTTTAAAATCTCATTACAAAACACCATTGTGGCAATTGTGACCCCACGTATATTCAAAATGAGTCAGAGCTTCAAGTTTATTCTTGTAGAAGCTGACAATGACGATAGCTCTTTCAAGGAGATTCATACTAATACTCATACTCATCTCAGAGATACTGCATGAATAAAGGGTACCAGTGGCAAGGATAAGAAATGCCGCCCACTATTTCCTTCTTAGAGGTTAACATTAAAGTATTAAAAGTCCTTAAAATTCTAAAGTACATTTACCAATTTATCCCTATACTTTTCCAAAGTATTCTGTCACAGAATGTTCTCCTTCTTTCTCTCATTTTTTATTGTGCTTGTTGATAGTATTTAACAGCAGTAATTTTTTTTTCGGGGGGGGGTTCCTGGGGATTGAACTCAGGACCTTGTGCTTTCAAGGCAGGCGGCGACACCACTGAGCTAAATCCAGTAATTTTTTTCGGGGGGGGGTTCCTGGGGATTGAACTCAGGACCTTGTGCTTTCAAGGCAGGCGGCGACACCACTGAGCTAAATCCCCAGCCCATCAGTGATGTTTTTTGGGACATGGTGTTTATTTTTTGTTTTATTTTTTACTAGGGATTGAACCTCCGGCCTCATGCTTGCTGCTAGGCAAGCTCTTTACTACTGAGCTACTTTTCCCAGCACTTTTAAAATTTGTGTTACAATGTCTTGCTAAATTCCCCAGGCTGGGTTTGAACTTGTGATCCTCTTTTCACCTGTTTAGTTGAGGAGATGGGAGAATAATTGTGTGTGAGGACCACGCGACACCTCTGGTGCAAGAGAAATGAGTATAGCACCAAAAGGAAGCCAGGGAGATGAACAGAATTCTAAAGGGATCTTTTCATCAGGCTGAATGATCATCTTTCTTTTTCCTGTATGCTCTTTGGGGGGTTGAATTTTAAAGAATCGAATGTGGCGGAAGACCCGGTCGAAGGTATCTGGAAGCCTCTGTGTCGGAGTGGATGCTAACCGGAACTGGGATGCAGGGTTTGGAGGTAGGCGCAGGGACTGGCCCGGAGGTACGGACAGTCTCTTTGGGTTCTCCTGGCTCTGCAGTGCCTCAGCTTGCTAAACCCGCTTAGGATTCTAGCCATTTAAAAACTTCTTTGAAAAACACTTCACCATATTCCCTGCACAAGAGCTCGGTGGTGTCGTAGAGCTCTGAGCAGCATTAAATACATTTCGTCTCACATGTTGGTTTTCCTACAACCTTATAGTCTGGTTCAGCTTCCCAGCTGCCTGAGCAAGTCTGTACAATGGCGGGAGCTCAGGAAGCCCGTAAGCCACTAGAGGGCGTTAGGATCTATTCGGAGGAGAAGCATTACATCATCTTTGGATGCTTCGAGAAGGAAAATTTTAAAAGAAGTACAAATAGGATTAAGAAAATGATTTTTTGAAAGAGACTCAAAGGTAAAATATTGCTTGCTATTCTGGTTTTGTTGACTTGCAGCTCCTATGTTTTAGAGTTCAGTGGCAGGAGAATCGGGGCCCTCCTTTGTGCTTTCAGGCTCTGGTTGAACTTTATATCTCACTAATGAAATTGAACTGTGTTTGGTTTTTCTTCACTAACTCACACCAATAGTGAGTCAGGAGCTGTGATTTTTACACTGTAGTATCCTCCTAACACCCTGCACAGAGTCTGCAACATGGAAGGTAGTCATTAAATATTTGTAAAGCAAATGAATTAATGAGAGTTATGGAACCAAGACAGGACACACTAGGGAACTGTGACAGGATATGGATGAGCAGTAACTTCATTTATTGCTTTAAAAATTTTATTTATGTATTTGCATAGGGGAAAAATAAAGTACCAGGCCCAAAATGTTGAACAACTGCCCATCCCCTCCTGAAATGTTACCTTAAAATAATTTTAATGTAAGATGACAGAAGTTGTATTTACATTTTGTCCTTGTCACTTAGCCCTGGGGAATCTCAATCTCTTCTTGTTCCCTAAAAACTTCTCTAGCATTCAGACCCCCTACCAGGCCTACAATGCCCCCATTTTAGTCATCTGGAGCAATTAGCTGGTAGGATCAAGCCCAAAGGTGGCCTTGTTGTCAAACTTTGTGATTTCCTCCCTTCAGAAAGAGTGTCATAGGTTCCTAGCATTCGTGGTTTTGTGACTTGGAAGTATAAATGCATAGAATCTTCTGCTCTTGGACTCTACCAATTGGAAGAGATCCCAGAAAATGAACTTGCTAAACTCCCACCCAGTGCAGGAATTCCAGCCATAGTATAAAATCTAGCTTTTCTTCCAAAATCTCCCACAGAGAGGAGATGATCTAATCTGATAGCTCTTTCTGCCATATAGAGGAACCATTTTTTTTTCTTTTAAGAAGAGATGTGTCCAGAAACACTTCAGTTGGCCAACTGTGCCTTTAGGAAGAGACCTGACCTAACACACTGATAATCTTCCTCTGATTTCTAGAAGAGGAACTTAGGGATGTACATGGTATCTTTCGCCTTTCTGTATCTTCCTAAAGTTCTCTGTTCTCACTGGGCTTCTCCTGCATCCTACCAGGGCCTGGAGCCAGTAACAGCCCTTGCTCAGATTCATACCATGGACCCAGGGCCAACTCTGAAGTTGAAGTGAAATCCATAGTGGACTTCATCAAGAGTCATGGAGCAGTCAAGGCCTTCCTTACCCTCCACAGCTACTCCCAGCTGCTTATGTTCCCCTATGGGTATACATGTACCAAATCAGATAACTTTGATGAGCTGGTGAGTTTCACAAACTTCATTTTAGTTCTGCAACAGTATCTGTTATGTGGGTAAGCTTTAGTCATAAAGTTGGGCACTGAGGTAGAGCTGTACTAGTGACAGGTTACAAGGATGACAAAACATCAGTTGAACCACTAAGATGGCGATGGAGACAAAGCTTTTCTAAACTAAGTCTCCTTGGGAAATAGAATTACGAAATTTTTGTTACTTTAATCTGCATGAGCAGGAGCGTGATTTGACTGTGAGTTTCCAGGATGTGCTTTCTGTTGCTTAGGGAGGGAGGGAGAAAAAAAAAACAGCTTAGATTTAGATCTGAGGCTCTTGGACTGGTGGACAGATGCCATTTGTTAAGCATTGCTGTTCCCCGTAAATCGACTAATATTTTCTTGGAGCCTTTGGCTCTGTCACCTGCCATGATGATGCACTGGGTTTAAAATGCTCACTTCCTTAGTCTGATCCTTTCTGTCATTCCTGTTTCAGAAATAAGTGAAATGGCAGCAGCCTTCCTTAGGTCAGTTGGTGACATCTCAGGAGATTGTTCACAATTGAGCAACAGCTATCCCCAGCTGAAGAGAATGTGCGGAGATCCTGTTTAGCCTGTAGGCTTGGATTTTGAAACCCACATGTTAGAGATAAGCTCAGAATTTTGACCTTTCGGACAGTTTACCTGCAAATGGATTGTTGTCAACAGCCTCAGGAAGAAATGGAATAGATTATTCTAAATCAGAGTTTCTTTCATCTCATCAGCTGGATTTTAATCCTGTAGAACAGTTTTCTGGGTTTTAATGTGACCATTACCATTCAAAGTCAAATCAGGGAAAAAGAGTGCCAGGATTGGGCTTTTAATAGTTGTAAGTACCTTTAAATTACCTAAATGTGCTGCTCAAATCTTTACCAGGTAGTCATGCAGCCTGTGATTGAATGGCTTCCTGCTTCCAAGGGAACTTGTTCTGTGGCTGGGCAGGTTTAATTGTGAGCTCTTCCTCCTAGAGAGCTGAAGCCTTCTCCTTGTGTTTTTCACTTACTAGTCCTGTTATCTTCTCAGCTTTATTGAGCAACTTTATTTCCCTTTGGGAAGTGAAACCAATAATAACTTAATGTTTCTCCTAGGTCCTTCCCTGCCCTTCCAAAATAAACCCTGTAAGCACTCATAGTATGGGCCCAAGTTCCCTTGTCATTCTTGCTGTTTTTGAAATGTGCATTGTGTGGTTCATGTTCATCAGAGGCAGCTCCCAGAAGTGAATGTGAAACCTGTGTTGGGGGTTCACCAGTATAGAGAAGAGCATGGCCATAACTGCTGTCATCTAGATTGTGTACTTCTGCTATTCCAGTGGAGGGTCACATTAGTTTTTTGGCAGTGGCACCCTGGGGTTGACTCACTTGGGCTCATTGACAGCTGAAACCCCCAGGCTCTTTGACGCTTCAACTGAGCCAGGATCCCCTGTCTGGTAATTGTATAGTTGTTTTCCTGGACCCAAGTTCAAGACCGTACATTTATCCTGAGCAATGACAGTAAAGCCTCAATCAGTCAAAATTGGAACTCTCAAGTAATGGAAAATATTTTGCTGAGCTCTACTGCTTAGAAAAAAGACAATCACAGGGAAATGAGACATGTAGGGATATAGTAAAAAAACCCAAAAAACTTCTCAGATATATTTTGGGATCAGTACACATTCTTTTTAGCTCCTTTTTACTGACCCTATTTTCATTCGTAGTCTTGAACAATGATGGTAAAATAAAGAATCCTGAGTATTACAAACACTTGGATTATTCAATAAACATTGCAGTTCTATATGTTGTATCATCAAAGCCAACAGAAGTACACTTGTACTTGCTTTTCTTTGAGACAAAAAGGGCAGGTACTTCTGCCTCAGTAACCAGAATGTCTAGTTAATTGGATCTTCCTAGTCTGTATTTTGCTATTGGGTAACTAACTTCCCAAAAAGCAAGTGTTATCCATCCATCTTTCTTTGGTTCATTCTCTCTAGGAGGAAGTGGCCCAAAAGGCTTCCCAGTCTGTGACAAGTCTGTATGGCACCAAGTACGAAGTGGGGCCAATCTGCTCAGTCATCTGTAAGTATCTCATGTGAGGGAAGTTTGTACCAGTTACCCACTAAGATGGCAGGCAACCTGAGAGTTCAGGGAAAATTGAATGCCTTGAGGTGAAAGGCACAGTAGGCCTTCATGCAGGAACTCAGCCTTACCCAAGTCTCCTCCACAAGGTACTATGTGATATCTAGAATGAAGAACTTCCTAAGTACATGAGTTTTATGCTCCTTCCTAGGCTTGTCCATATCATTACAGCTTACTATGTGGATCTCTTTGTCTAAAAATGGGCCTTTATCAACACCTAGTCCTAGATCTTTCTTTTTTATTAACCTTCCCTTTCCTGGCCAAGAAGGAGTCCTATGGACTGTGGGTGAAAGCAGAATGGGTATGGCTCTTTAAGAGGACCTGGCTAGGGGCTGAGGGTATAGATCAATGGTAGAGCTTTGCTCAGCGTGCAAAAGGTCCTGGAGGAAGAAGGAGCCCCCAACAATTCACTCTTTACAGGAGCAGTGAACAGGAGGACAAATGAACATTCATTGTATACATTACTATGATATGTATGGTAGCAGGTTATACATGGCACTAGTCTTATACATTTGGGAGGATTTGACAGTGACTGAGTCAGGAAAAGTTTCATAGAAGAAGAGGGCAGAGTTTAAAAAAATTTTAAATTACATTGTTTTTGTTGTTGTGATGGTGATGATGACGGCGATGATGACACTGGAAATTGAACCCAGGGCCTTTGCATTGAGCTACATCCCCAGCTCTTTCTTTTCTGGAGGTAAAAAGTGGATCACCAGGTAGCTTAGAGAAATAGGAAAGAATGGGAGCAGTGTGATCATTGAAAGGTACACAGAAGCACTGAAGTAGAAACTTTCATGATGGGCTGTGGGAACTGGATCTGGGACTGCTGGAATGAAAGTTGTATGAAGGGGTGTTGGGGGCATTTGTACTTCTGCTTGGCCCCTTTTGTGTGTCATGTTAAGGAGTTCAGATTCTGGTAGCCCCAAGGGAGCTTTCAGCAGGGCAGGGAGTGAGCTGAGAGACTGTGTTGAGATGAGACATGTTGGCAGCAGTGTGGAGGCTGGGGTAATGATGGACCAGAAGTAGGAGAGTGCAGGTGAGCAACAGTGACCTACACTACAGCAGGGTAGTGAGAGTGGATGGGGTTGGGAAGGAAAGCCACAGCCCCTGCTGTTTGTTAGATACAGAGTTTCTCACTGAAGGTCATTGAGTAGTACAAACTACCGAGAGGGACGTCTGGAAGGTGAAAAGGAGTGAGATTGGAGAGACCGAGTTGAGTTGTAGATGTAGTGAGCTTGAGATACTTATAGGATATTCACGTCCTGGAGCTGTCCTGGAGGCTTTGGGTGACCTGGCCTTGTGATTCTTCAGAGAGAGAGAGAGAGAGACTTAGAAACTGGGTTGATGTAGAGGGTAGTTGGAACAGGAGAACAAGGAGCAATTTGGAGTGGGAGGACAGAGGCACAAGATGTCAGACAGACAGGCTGAGAAACCTGCATTTCAGAATCCAGGGAGGAGGCCATGATTCAAAAGGAGTTAATGATTAAAATGAAGATAAAGGCCATGAAAAAAGAATCAGCTCAGATGAGAACATTTTCCATTTTACTTTCAACATTAGTTCATTGGTGTCCTTAATCAGAGAAGTTTCAGAAAAGTAGATCGATAAGGGAGACAAAGAGAGAGGAAAGGAAGCCTCTTTTTTTTGTTGTTGTTGAGAGGTACGGTATATTAAATATTAATTGGTGGTGGGAAAGGAACCAATAGAGAAGGAGAGGCAGATGACAGGAGGGAGAGGAAATGGCTGATGCAGAACGATTGCAGAGGAGGTGCAAGAAGGGCGCCGGCAGGGGCAGCTGGGTGGTCAGCCATGCGGAGGGAAAGGAGCAGTGCTCAGATACACTGTGGGTAGGGGTCAGCTGCAGCCTTAGGAGAACTAGGGCTCTGCGGAATACCCGCTCTCTAGCTGGGGTTATTTAATGGGAGTCTTGGAGAGCAGAAGAATATTTTACTCATTATATCCACAGCACTTCGTGAAAGTGCAAAAAAACCACATCACGAATATGGTGGTCATATTGTTTACTCAGATTATGGTGTGTTAATTTTGCTTTGTTTTCCCCAGTTAATGATGCATTTAAGAAAACTTTATAAGAAACAAAGAACCCAATCATCATGGTGTTTATGATCATTTTCAGTTTCATTAATGATTTTTGTCAATGAGCACAAACATATTTGTGTAGCCAGAATCCATATCTTGTATTTTGTGCTCAGTTTTTTAAAGTTAACAACATTTCCTGTGGAGTTTTGTGTATTTATATTTTAGGTATTTGTTATTCCATTATATATATTGCAAACACCTGGGTCTTTGGATTGTTTTACATTCTTGTTAAATAGTACTACTAGGAACATGTTTATACAAACTCCTCTTTCTATTAAATGAATTTTGGGGGGAATATATTCCCAGGCATGATTACCAAATCAATAGAATGAACAGATTTGGGGCTTCTGATACATATTTTCTAGGCTGTTCTCTGGGAAGACAGATCTGCACACAGTTGCTGTGACCACCCATTGACCCCCTTTTTTGAGACAGGGTCTTACCATACTGCCCAGGCTGGCCTTAAATTCTTGGACTTAAATGATCTTCCTGTCTCAGCCTCCTGAGTACCTGAAACTACAGCCATGCCCAGCTTGCTCAGATTTTGCTGAGAACCTTTTAACATAGTCCATATGGGCTTGTGAATGGTGGCAGTGGGCACAGAGAGGTGGACATAGCTTGAGACCATGATGACAGGTCAAGACTGAGGTGTACATGATTTTGGCTGATTGGCAGCCTTTGAGCACACACTGGAATTCAGCATGTCTCAATGACATTGTGTGCCCTTGAGACATCATATAGGTTTTAGCCATTTTATTACAGGAATATAGGATTTTTTAAACTCACTTTATCTAAAGGATTTACAAATAAGGTAGACCTTGGAAGGAAGAAGTTTGGTATATTTTGGTATATTTTCCTTGATTAGACCGCAGATGTTGAAGACATTTCTAGTAAGCAAATACCAGACAAATACAAGTGTACTGTGTGATCACAGCCATTCATTAATGCAGGTTCTGGCTGCATCTCTGCCCAGAGTTGCCTCTGCTATCTTGTCTTATTCCAGCTTGGACAAGTTCTATTTCTTTTCTTTTTTTTTTTTTTTTTTGAGACAGGGTCTCACTATGTAGTTGAGACTGACCTGGAACTCACTATGTAGCCCAGGCTGGTCTTGAACTCACAGCAATTCTCCTGCCTCAGCCTCCTGAGTTCTGGGATTACAGGCGTGTGCCACCATGCCCAGCGGACAAGTTCTATTTCTAAGACCTAGTCTCAGTTAAGGACTCCTGGTCTCCTCTTCCTTCTTGACATAGAGCTCTGGCCTGAACACTTGCTTCTGTCTGCCTGACAGGTAGCTGTATATCTATGGTGCTGAGACATTTCATGGGAAGGCTCCTGGAAAGGGCTGTAAAGAGCTGCAATTGATAGGTGTTCGTTTGGTCCAGAAGAAGGTGTCTCTAGAGTTCCTTCCCAGGGAGGTGTAAGGGGAAGAGCCCACAGCCCTTGGAGTCAGAGGCCTGAGTGTGAGTTACAGCTCTGCCACTTTGACATCAAGTCACCTTGGGCCAGTCAGACATCTTCCTTTAGTTTTATCACCCATGAAGTGGATTTTTTTTTTTTTTTTTTTTTTTTGGTATGGGGGATTGAACTCAAGTCCTCACACTTGCGAGACAGGCAAAGTGCTACTGAGCTAAATCCCCAGCCCTGACATGGATTTTTGAGAGGCTCAAAACCTAGTACCTGTATGTAGAATAAAAAAGTGTTTTCTAACTCTAAAACACTGCATCAGTGTTGATTGCTACTTTCCTGGTCACCTGTTCTTCTCCAGCTACTTCTCATCCTTAATATGGCCTAAGTTGACCAGAGTGAAGTCATTTATTGATAATGATCATCAATGACTGATATTTATTGGCTGCCTAGTCCGCACACTTTATCATAGCTCCATCACTAAATTGCTCCGAATCTCAGTTTCCTCATCTGTAAAATAGGAGCGGGACTAGTACCTACCTCAGCACTGAGGTAGGCATTAACCACAGTGTCTACCACATTTAGTGAGCACTCAGCATGTGTTGTAATCCTGACCATTGCAGTATCGTATTTAATTCTCACTGCCCTGTGCAGTAAGTAGTATATCATCCCTATTTGACAGATGAAGCATCTGGAACTCAGAGAGGTCAGTGAGGGCTCCAAGGGCACCAGCTAATGATTTGCAGGGTTGGGATTCAACCTGAAGCCAGTACTCTGTTCTCTGTGGACTCTCTCCTCTAACAGGACCAGCTGTATTGTATACACAGAGGTCTTAAGTTAGTAATTTTGGTACCCAAGGAGGATCCTGTTCAAGTCAGCAGTCATTTAGTATTTTTTTAATTTTCTGTTTGTCACCATAGCTATTGAGGATGAAGATAAAAACACTGGTCATTGGCATGTAAAGGTACAAGATCCCAGTAATGAATGTAACTGTACTGTCTACTTAGAATGTACCAATAAATTCAATTTAAAATTAAAAAAAAGAAAACAATCAACACAGGTCATGAGAGTTCTCAGTATTATAGGTTGAGCATCTGTAATCTGAAAACCCAAAAATCCATAATCCATAACTCAAAACTTTTGATCACTAACACTGTGCCATAAGTGGGAAATTCCTTGCCTGACTTCACATGATAGATTTAAGTAAAAATTCAGGTGCACTAAAATATTGTATAAAATTACCCTTAGGCGGTATGTATCAGGTATATATGAAACATAAATGAATTTCATATTTACATTTGGGGCCTCTCTCTGAAATATCTCATTATGAAATATGAAAATATTCCAAAATCTGAAAAAAAATCCCAAATCCAAAATACTTCTACTCCCAAGCATTTCAGATAAGTTATATTCAACCTATAATATTAGCCTCTAGTCTAGT